GTGTGCCCTCGCCTCCCCGTGCCCTGGTACCCTCCCCCAGCACATGTTCCCTGACCTCGGCCTGTCCCCTCTCTCCCTGCAGAGCAAGGCGCGGGAAAACGCCATCTCGGTGAAGACCCTGGTGCAGGAGCTTGGCCGCAGGGAGGGCAGGCGGTGAGTGGTGCCCGGCCTGGGCGGGCCCTGGAGCCCCAGGGACTGCAATCTCCCCTCCGCTCCGGGTGCCGTGGGCACAGCCGGGGGCAAGGGGTGCAGAGCCGGGTGCAGCTCAGGGCTCAGCCTCCAGACACCATGTGTCGGGCATGGACAGCACAGACCCTGCGTGCCAGCGACCCCGGCCAGCGCAGGTCTGAGTGCTGCTCCCCAGGGCGGCTGGGAGACCCCCCAGAAAGTCTGGCCTGCAGGGTAGCAGGGGAGAGGCCGGAGGCTGTTCCCAGGGCCTAGACTTCCCCTGCCTCTGGTGCCCAGCCCCAGTGGGGACGGTTTGTCTGTTACACAGTCTGGGCAGGGGGGCTGCGGGCCGGGCCCAGCAGGGGGCTGGGGAGGAGCTGTTTGGGGGCCCCTCCCTGCACGTCTGTCCTGTGCAGCGCCCTCCCTGCTGCCAGGCTGGCTGGGGGCTGACGGGGGGCAGGGCTGAGCTGTCCCTGATGCCAGGCTGGCTGGGGGCTGGCTGGGGGCAGGGCTGAGCTGTCCCTGCTGCCAGGCTGGCTGGGGGCTGACGGGGGGCAGGGCTGAGCTGTCCCTGATGCCAGGCTGGCCGGGGGCTGACGGGGGGCAGGGCTGAGCTGTCCCTGATGCCCGGCTGCCCCGCAGTCACTGCCCCCAGATCCAGCCCAGCCCGCGGCTGCGCTGGTTGTCCTGCCTGTCCCGGGACTGGCTGTTCGAGGTGCCCCCGGGCCTGCTGGCCGAGTGCGTCCACGAGGAGCTGGCGCTGCAGTGGGCGAAGCTGCTGTTCGACGACGCCCCGACTGGGGGGGCGCTGGCCTGGCTCCCCACTGAGGACATGGCTCCTGCCCCCAGCGGCTGCCTGGTCCACCCAGGAGGGGAGGCCATGAACCTCCTCTGTATCCTTCTGCAGACAGGCGGGGCTGGTGCAGGGGGCTGCTGAGTGTGGCCCCAGCCTGGGGGGCGGCTGGGGGAGGCAGAGCTCTTTGCTGGGGGCATCAAGTCCCTGTTGCACCCCTGGGGATAGGGGGTTTGATGCCAGGACCCAGCTGATCTGTCATTGGCTGGGCCGGGAGCTGGGCTGGGAGGTTGGCTAGGCTGGGCTGGGAGGTTGGCCAGGCCGGGTGCTGAGAGTTGTCCCCGGGCTGGGCTGGGAGGTTGGCTGGGCCGGGAGCTGGGAGGTTGGCTGGGCCAGGGGCTGGGCTGGGAGGTTTGCTGGGCTGGGAGGTTTGCTGGGCCAGGGGCTGGGCTGGGAGGTTTGCTGGGCCGGGGGCTGGGCTGGGAGGTTTGCTGGACCGGGGGCCGGCTGTTGTCCCTGGGCTGGGGCTGACCCTCTGGCATGGGGCCAGCCGTGGCCCCTGCAGGCGGTGCGTGGCCCTTGACAGGGTGCCAGGTTTCCAGGAGGTGGCTCTGGAGCAGGTGGCCGGTGCCCTGCAGCCCCGTGCCCGCGGCCGCCCCGCGCAGTTCGAGCTCAGGGGCCGGATCCGCCAGGTGGCTGCCGCGCAGGTGGCCGGGGAAGGTGAGTGAGGCCCTGGGGAGGTGCCAGGCTCTGCTGCTGGCTACGTGTGGCCCTGGAGAGCGGCCGCCTGCTCCCTGGAGGAGGGCTGAGCCCCTGGGTGCATGGGGCAGGGAACAGCCTCCTGCTGGGGGCAGCCAAGGCGCTGGGCCCAGGGCACTGTCCCCTGTGGGCCTGGCCCCGTCGGCAGCCGTTGCCCCCAGGGCTTACCGCGGCGTCTCCTCCCCACGTGCAGCCCTCGTCGGCGTTCGCTCGGATCATCACTGTGGTGCCTGGCGACTTCAGGCCGGCGCCGCCCCTGTCCCGCTCCAGGTCATTCGCACCGACGCGCCCGCCTCCTGCCTCACCGTCAGGTACGTGCCTGGGCTGGCCCGGCTGGAGGAGCCGCGGGCCCCGGCCTGGGGGGCACCTCGCCACCCCCTGCCCTGGGCAGGAGCTGGCCCCGGGAATGCAGAAGGCGCTGTCCGTTTGATTCTGCGGTGCAGGGAAAGAAAGGGGCCCATCTGCCTTCCTTGGCCACACCAGGTCGGCCACGCCAGGTCAGCCACTCTGCGCCCGAGGCTGGTGCTTGGTTCCCCTCCACTGGGGTCATGTCCCCCCGCCGCCTGGAGCTCCCTTCCCGGGGCTTTCCCCCGCAGCCCCTCCCTTGTCCAGGCTGGGCTCGGGGACCACCAGTGCGCACGACTCACGGCCGTGGTACCGCGGATGTGCTGCGCTGCCTGTCCGGCCCTCCCACCACGGGCGCAGCGTGGGAGGTGGAGTGAGTTTTTCTGGTCTGACACAGCAATGAGCCCTTTGCCAGTGGAGGCCTTTAAACCGCGTTTGCTTGGCCCGTCCGTCCTGTGCCCAAGGGAGGGTCCACCCTGTGCTAACGCTCTGCCCTTCCCCGCAGCCCCCACCTCCCCGGGGAGCTGTCCGTCTGCACCCTCAGTGGGGCCGTGTACCTCTGGAACGTCGAGACTGGGTAAGGGGGGCCAAGGGCTGGGGCCCTGGGAAGGGGGGGCAGCGCAGGCACCTGGGAGCCGGAGAGCGGGCATGGGTGAGGGAGGGTGCTCCCGGGTGGGGAGTGGCTGTGGCTCTTCCTAACCACTATGAAGCCTGGTGCTGGGAGCTGCATATCCCCCTCCCCCCGCAAACAGGCAGGGACCGGCCCAGGCAGGGCGCACCATGCCCTGCGCTGTCCCCCGCCCATGTGAGGTGCTGATCGCTCTGCCCAGGTGTGACGGTGCTGCCCGTGGGAGCCCACTGACGTCACTCAATTAGGGTGAACTGCAAACAAAACGGGGCAGACAAACCCCAAACACTGGTGGTTATTCCAATACTTAGATTTACCAACCAGCCCCAAACAGCTTCTGTAGTACCTCACTGGTTACTCAGAGTCCAAACAACGCAGTTCCCTTAAAGTACCCAGCCTCAGGCCTCCGTCCAGACACACCTGTCAGATATGATGATGACTGAAAATCTTCTCTCATCATATAAAAGAAAAGGTTCTTCTGATCCCAAAGGATCAGCCACACACCCAGGTCCAATTATAACTTAGATCTGACCCAAAATACATGCTATAGTCAATTCTTATTAACTAAACTAAAATGTATTAAAAAAGAAAAGAGAGAGCGTGTTGGTTAAAAGATCAATATACAGACAGACTTGAATTCAATTCTTGAGGTTCAGATGCATAGCAGAGATGAGCTTGTAGCTGCCAAAAGTCCTTTTAGAAATAGTCCATAGGTTATAGTCCAGTGTCCATATTCAGGGTGACTCCAGTCAGTGACTGGGGATCTCAATCCTTGTGGCTTAAGGTTTCCCCCTCTTGAAACCCAAAGCAGATCTGAGATGAAGCAGGATCGTGTCCCAGGGTTCTTATACATTTCCAGCAGCCTTTTGGCCTGAGAAAACAATAGGTCTAATTCTCCTTCTCCCAAACATTCTGGCAATTAGCACAGGGTCATTTATCCATTCAACAGTTCAGATACAGGTTACCACAACCTTCAAAGAGACATAGAGACAATAATACTATTTCACTCAAGTATCTTCCTAAATGTTAATATTCCTTTTTTGATCTTTGAATGAAAGTTATAACAATAGACAAGACTTGTTTGCTCATATTACAAGACCTGAGCAAACATCTACCCTTTTACCTCCAACAATACAGACTTGCATTTCAAAGCTCTAGTCATTTACCTATCTTCCTAACCAGTCCTTAAGGTTTGGCCATAGGCCAGGTGTGACGTTATTGATATAATCTGGGCCCATATAGATCATTGTTGCAACCAAGGTCCTGTAGTGGCGCCGAAATCTTCCATAAAGGATGTGCAAAGAGTTATTTAAGACCATCTTTTAGTTTACTGGTTGT